TTTGGACCCTCTTCTTACCGAACAAAAATATGTGTCCTTTTATCTTTGCCCTATTTTTGTTACACGATAAATGGGCAAAGAATGGCAACTGTAGACACTTATTTTTGTCAGTGGTCTTTTTTAATATAGGATAGCATACATAATAATTTCAAATATAGTTTTTAAAAATATATAATATATAGTTTTTGGAAACTTATTTTTGAAAAAGTATAATATATACTTTTTAAAAAAATAGTTTTGAAAACGTATAATATATGATTTTAAAAAACATTTTTGAAAACGTATAATATATGGTTTAAGAACATTTTTGAAAAACATATATATAATATAGTTTTGAAAACATACTTTTGAAAATGTATATATAGTTTTTAAATATTCTTGGAAGAATATATAATATGTAATTTTCGAAAACATATTATTTTTGAAAATATAATATATTATATAGTTTTTTCCTTTTAATGTATATATATAGTAAGCTTATTATTATTTTATATATTATATTATATTATATTTTTATTAATTTTATTTTTATTTTTTAGGGGTCCAAGTCCAGTTCGATAAAAAAGGTCCAAGTCCAAGGCCTAACCGGGTAGCCTGACCCAACAGACCCGATTCAAAGCCCAAATTGAATTAGGGTTTCGTACTAAGCAAACAGTGCTGCACGAAAAAGAAAATAACGTGCGTGAAAGCCACGTGCCAACGTGGTTACCAACTGGCCAGGATTCCCAGCCAAACAACTCGAGACTAAACCATCCCGGGATGGCCAGTCACACGAACGACCGAACGGCCCGAAAATAACGGAAACTAGGGAAACAACCCGTGGGTAGTGGAAACAATAATAATCGGCGGTGGGGTACAAATACCCCCAACCAATATTTCAAAAAACAACGATAGTCACGAAAAACCCAGCAAACAATGGAAAATACCACGACATCCAACAAAAACAAAAAAAAGAACAAAAAAGCAAGCAACAAAAAATGAAGTACTCTAAATAGCAAGAAAAATCATATAAAGCATTTGGCTTTGAGGTCGCGTGGAGGAAAACACGGCGGTGGAAAGCCAAAAGTTTCTAGAACTTGAAGGTAACTTTGGGCCTAGACCTACACTTTTTCGGGGTTTTTTATGAGATTTTGGCATCGGTTTCGTGCTCACTGGGTTGGGGAGAGCGTTTTAGGTAAGTTTAGTTTTTTTCAACCGCCAGAGCGGCTAAGCAGCGGCGTTCGGTGGCTGGCCATCAGGGCCGGTTGGAGAGCAATGAGAGGATTGAGAGAGTTTAGGGGGAGCTTTGGTGAGAATGAGTCTGAAAATGGGTTTTTGGGTATTTATATACCAGGGACCTTTGTGTAATTAATATACTTTAATTATTTTCACGGTCCCTCAAAGTTTGATGTGTAATTCATTTTGGTCACCTATTGTGATTTTACCTCTAAATTTTCAATTAATTCAATTCAGTCCCTATTTAAATTTCTTATATTTTACAAATTTACCTCCTAATTTTTTATTTTTTCTTGCAGTTTTCAATTATTATCAATTTGGTCCCTAATTTAATTTTTTTACAGTTAAATCCTTTTAATTTAATTTTTTATATTTCTTAATTTAATCTTGTTTTGTTTTGATAGTAAACACTGATTTGATTCATTATTTTTTAGGGTCAATTTTAAACTCTTCAATGGTAAGTAATTCAGATCAAACTTTTTAAATTTTAATTTGATTTTTAATTTTCACCATTAAGACAGCCGGGAAATTAAATTGGTACCGAAAGGGCAGTACAAGGGTACTAATCTTTCATTGACTGTAACCGACTCTCGAACCCGACATATTTATGGTAAAACGCAGATCAGGTAAGATGATAAATTAGGGTGTCCGGTCAACCTAAATATTTTTCTAAAAAATAGAAATAAATGATTAGTGGTGGCTCTAACATGTTTTATTTAAGTTGAAGCCTAATTCTGGGCCCACATGAAGGATGGTTACAACATACATAGAGGTTACGAGAGTACAAGTACATGATATTTCATGTATTATAAAATAAATATCTATACTAAAATTTAGCGTATCTTATAAAAAAAAACTCTTCTAACATCCATACAAAATCCTCCCTACAATGTGAACTCCAAAAAATTGTAAAGGATATAAAAAGATTACATATTTTTAAAATAATTTCATGTCATAAATTTAAGGCTTAGCTGTAAAATAAGTGCCTAAATTATATCGCTCTTCACGAATAGATACCTACAGTATTTTTTGAATGATCTCGTTGCCTAACGTTACAAACGTTACAACTTTAGGTGTCCGAGTCGTAACTGCCGTTAGTTTTTACATTAAGTGACACGTGTCATAATCTGATAATTTTAAATTTTTTAATTAAAAATATTATATTTATATAAAAACCCTAATTTCTATTAAATTAAAAAACCTTAAAAATCATAAATCCTAACCCTAACCGACATAGTTTCCTTTCAATCCACGACCACCGCCGTCGACTTAGTCCCTACCATCCTCCTAGTCATATGCCGTTGTATTTGCGTCGATTGGTCGTCAAAAGCGTATGGGATCGCGATTTTTATCCTAGGGTTCGCGGGGTACAAAACGTTGATTGACCGTCGATCAGTCGCAATTTCACTGGGATATTGATCGTCGAGGGTAGGTGAGGTCGGATGGAGCTTCATAGACGGCAAATGACTACAACCTGTGTGGGTAGGTTGAAATGAAGGTTTTTAAAGTTTTGTTTCTATTTCAAAATTTTTGTGCGTGTTCTTTTTAAAATTATATAATTTAAATTTTTAAATTTTAAATAATTTTTTTAAAATTACTAGAATGTGACACGTGTGTTCTTTTTAAAATTATATAATTTAAATTTTTAATTTTAAATATATTTTTTAAAATTACTAGAATATGGCACGTGTCAATTAATTAAGGAGAAAATTAACAGCTTTTATAGTTTGAACATCTAAAATGATAACGTTTGTAACGTTAGCCGGGATCATTCAAAAATATTGTAGGCACCTATTCGTGAAAAACACTATAGTTTGAACACTTATTTTATAATTAAGCCTAAATTTAAAGGTTAAAACTTATTCTATATTTATAAAATCAAATAATTGACTACTAAGAAACTTAATTCGAGAATATTTCTTGTCCAAAATAAATATTTACTTATTAAATAAACTCGATTAAAATCTGACTCAATATCTAATAAATTGCTTTAATTTTTATTATTGAATTTTCAGTAAGATTGGTTTGAGAAAGTTATGGTTCAGACTTGCAAAGCACATACAAAATCACCACCGGTATCTACATCAGTATCATCAATGTCATCAAGATCCATACTACCACCAAGCAATTGAGCACCAACTTTGAGACCCGCATCAGGCTCCCTAGCTCATCTATTATAGACAATATTTTTTCAATACTCAGACTGATCATTTTCTTCCTCAATTTTCAGTTTCCTATCCCCTCCTTCCATGAACTCCATTGGCAAGTTCTTTAAAAACCAGGGATGCTGCTTGATTTATGGTGTGGTTATTCTCTATGAACACAAATACAATTCAGTGTCACCTTACATGTGAAGAAATCTGTTAAAAAAAACTCGTAAACATGTCGAAAATTGTATGGACCTTTTCGGGGTCTGCTATGAAAGTCCTAGATAGTAGATGCTTGCAGTCCTTGGAGAGTCGAACGTAATCGGGGATAAAATAGTGGACACTAAGAATCCACTATCGGAATCCGATTCAGATTAGATTTTTTTCAAAACACTAAACCATCATATTTACACATTCTTTTTCAATGATTAAGCACCGATGGTCGATTTTTGAGCAGAAAACGAAGATCTTAATAAGAATACTTACCTTCCCATCATATTCTTTTTTTAGATAAGACCTCAGGGGCAATATAGGCCGGGGTTCCTACAGTTGATTTGGGCTGGGAATGAAACACACTTGACTGTAACAAATATGTAGTGGAAAGTTAATAATTGAGTTCATATATAGTATGTAGAGCAGAATTGCAGAAGCATATATGGTGAATGATTTAGTAGGATCACTGCCTTGGAGTAGCCGAAGTCGCATATTTTGAGTCGCGGCGTCAGACTTCCGTTTAACAGAGTGTTTTCCAGCTTCAGATCTCTATGAAAAATTTCCTGTGTAAAAGAGGATAAACTTAAAATGGAAAACAATTTTCAGAATTAAGGAATACAGTAGGCAAGTATATGTTGGAAACGTAGGTCGGCACTCGAAAATTTATAATTCACACGCTATTATTAATTACAAGTATAACATTAGCTTCTACTAGTTTACAAACGCAACCCCGTTATTCAAAGATTTGCTAAACTATCTCTCGTATGTTTTTCACTTTTGACTCACTAACATACATAAACTAAAACTATCAAGGCCTTTTATAGGCAATTTAACTGCCTAAGTATGTTGCATTTCCAAGCTGTGCTCTACTTCAATTTTGCAATTTAGTTGATAAGCTTTGCATGTGATGCTGCCAAGTTTTGTTGCTTCCCGACTCTTTAATTCATTTTCCATTTGTCACGTTAAGCTTTGCCGCCTTAATCTTAATCTTTCATATGCCACATTGCCTTTCATCACATGTTTATTTTCCATGTTAATTCTTAAATAATTCATGATTCATTAATCAAGAATCTTCTAGCTTTTACCACTTTAATCTTGCGATGTTAATGAGTCAAAATCATGTTTGACTTTCAAACATTCCCTCTAAAACTTGATTTTTCATTCCAAGCTTTTCTTTGAGTCTGTAGAATACGTCTCCTTTCAATGGCTTTGTGAAAATATCTGCTAGTTGATCTTCAGTTCTGTAGTAAATTAGTTCCACATTTTTATTCTTCACATGCTCTCGTATAAAGTGATACTTTGTATCAATATGCTTGCTTTGACTATGGGAGACTGGATTCTTGTCCAGGGAAATTGTAGACTTGTTGTCGACATAAATTATAGTTGGCTCTCCTTGTGCCAAGTCTAGCTCGTCCAAAATATTCTTTAACCATATTGTTTGGCAAGTGCATGATGAAGCGGATATGTATTACCTTCACATTTCGAAAGAGCCATCGTTTGTTGCTTCTTTGATGACCATGAAAATCCTGCAGAGCCGATATGAAATAGATATCCAGAAGTACTTTTTTGGTCGTCTAAGTCTCTCCCATAATCACTATCAGAATAACCAACCAACTTCGAATTTTTGAATGCATGTAGAACAAACCATGATATGTTGTACCTTTTACATATCTCAAGATTCTTTTTGCTGTAATCCAATGATCTTGTTTCAGATTCTCCATGAATCTGCTTACCAATCCCACAACATATGTTATGTCTGCTCGTGTGATAGTCAGATACCTTAGAATTCAATAATTCTTTTAAACAACATCGAATTCACTTGCTCTCTTGTTGAATTCTCACTTAATTTCATGTCTGGTTATGCTGAAATGGCTACAGACTTGCAATCTTCCATTCTAAATTTTCTTAAAATTTCTTCTGCATACTTCTTTTGTGATATAAATATTCCTTCTTGCATTTGTTTCACTTTAACTCCAAGGAAGTATGACATTTCTCCAATATCCATCATTTCAAATTCTTTAGTCATAACTTTCTTAAAATCATTAAACATACTTGGATTATTTGCTGTGAAAATCATGTAGTCTACATATAAGCACACAATCATGATATCACCATCTTCATTTTTCTTCGATGGACTCTTCATGAACTCATTTCTTTGGAAGTATTCATCCATTCTCATGTTCCACGCTCTTGGAGCTTGCTTTAGTCCATATAAAGCTTTCTTCAATCGATAAACGTTGTACTCATGTCCCTTTTTAATGTATCCAGATGGTTGCTCAATATAAACTTCTTATTCTAGGTAGCCATCTAGAAATGCTAACTTCATATCCATTTGATAAATCTTCCATTTGTTTTGTGTTGCAACTGCTGTGAGAAGTCTGATGCTCTCGATCATTGCTACTGGAGCAAATACTTCGTCATAGTTTATTCCTTGTGTTTCTCGACATCTCCTTCTTTGTTAGTCAAAGTCTTGTAAACCCATTTTACTCTAATTGGGTTATGACCTTCTGGTCACCTTGTTAGCTCTCATGCATCATTTCTTTCTATTAATGCAATTTCTTCATCCATTTCATTCTTTCATTTGTCATCTTCAACCACTTCTTCATATGTTATTGGATCACTATTCACAAGTAAGCAAAAAAAGTGAAACATTATTTAATTCATAATCGTTATACCTTTCTGGTATTCTTCTCTCCCTCGCAGATCTTCGAACTTCTGTGGGAGGTACTTCAAGATTTTCTATTATGTTGCTACCATCGTTGCTACTGCTGCTTCATGACGATGATGCCTTTTGTTGAGGACCTTGATCATCAGCTTGTTCATCTTGATTGATAAGATCGTCATCTTTATCTTCATTAAAAAATAGTCCTTCAACTTTCTTTTCTTCTTTGCTCCATCTTCAATATTCTCCTTCATCGAACTCGACATCCCTTGAAATTATTACCTTCTTGGTAAGAGGATTATATAACTTGTAGGCTTTGCTTTTTACATCATAGCCAACGAAAATATATTTTTCTCCTTTGTCGTATACTTCACACTTTTGGTTGGACATCGGTTCAATAGGTAAAATGCACATCGAACTACTTATGCCCAGAAATTTCTCGGTAGATGCTTACCTTTTATTATGCTTCTTGCCATGTCAAGGATTATGTGGTTCTTTCTTCCTACAACTTTATTTTGTTGTGGCGTGTATCTGAAAATCAACCGATGGATGATGCCTTGCTCTTTACAGAAGTTTTCAAATAAATTTGATGTATATTCACCTCCTTTATCTTATTTGATTATCTTCATATATTACTTTGTTTTTCCGCCATTGCTTTAAATTTTTTTCAATTTTTCTAATGCTTCTGATTTTTCTTTCAAGATATAAATCCAACATTTCTACTAAAATCATCAATAAAAATTAGGTAATACATGTTACCACTAAGTGATGGTATGCAAAAAGGACCGACTATATCTGTATATACTATCTCCAACGGTCTTTGGGCACTCCAGGATCTACCAACTTCAAAGCTTTGTCTATGTTGCTTTCCTTTAATGCAAGCCTCACATAAATGATTTGGAGGGTTGATCTATGGCAGTCCTTTCACCATACTTGTTTTTGATAATAGCTTCAAGCCAGAAAATCCAAGATGTTCATATCATAGATGTCATAGCCATGAAACATCTTTAATTGTGGTCTTCATACACTTGATTTCTCCCGAATCAATGTCAATTGTAAAGAGACGATTTCGAGTCATATTAACATGGGCTATCAATTGTCCTTCTTTATTTTCAATGGCAAGTGAGTGATTCTTCATCTGCATTTCATATCTTTTTTCAAGGAGTTAACCAAGACTGATGATATTGCTTTTCAAAATAGGTACATGATAAACATCTGAGATGTTTTTCTTTTCACAATTTCTTTGAGTAATCATAACTTCTCCTTTTCCTTTTACTTTCTTGTGTGAGTCATCTCTAAAAGTTACTCGCCCATGGACTGTTTCATCTAATTTCATGAAGAACTCCTTTCGACCACACATATGGTTGTTAGCACAATTATCAATATACCAAATATTTTTCTTGAATTCTTCATTTCATTTATAAGTGAGGAATACATGAGATTTTTCAATTTTTTATTCTTCAGCTGTTGCTAAGTTATTTCTTTCTTATTGTTTAGGTGTTGATCGACACTCATAACTATAGTGACCATACTTATTACAATTATAACATTGTATCTAAGATTTATTTCCTTGTTGATATCTACCTCTAGCTCGACCTCGGCCTCTGAATCCTTATCCACGACATGATGTTTGATTGCTTTCACTTATTTGATCAGTGCCATATGACTGGCCACCATGTCCACGAGTTTCTCATCCTCATCCTCCTCTGTATCTTCCACGATAACCACCACGATTTCCTCGGCCTCATGTGTAGCTATTGCTAGCTTCTCTTTCATTGACATTCATCTTGCTTTGTAAAGTTTGCTCCAAATTTTCAGAATCTTCATTTTGTTTCATTTTCTTCTCATGGGCTTGAAGTGAACCCACAAGCTCAACAATCGATATTTAAGATAATTTTTTTTGATTCTTCGATTGTCACGACAATGTAATTGAATTTTCGTGTCAACGATCACAAAATCTTTCCATCACTCTAACTTCATTGAGTGATTCCCCATTTCTTTTCATTTCATTCACTACCGCTTTTACACGACTAATATAATCATCGATGTTTTTAGTATTTTTCATTTTTAACATCTCAAACTCAGCTCTAAGGGATTGTAAACGTACCTTTTTCGCTTTTTTGACACCTTGGAGAGATTTTTGTAAAATCTCTCACGCTTGCTTTTCGGTCTTTGTATCAAAAAAAATTTCAAAGGTTGATTCATCTACTCCTTGAAAAATAAAAAAAACAATGCTCTTCTATCTTTTTTCTGGGATTCCTTCAATATCTTCTTTTCTTCATTGGTCAGGGCTACTTCTGTTGCTGCATTTTCAAGCTCAATGTAACCTTCCTCGACGATATCTCAACAATATTGGGAACCTAGTAACGCCTTCATTCGAATGCTCCAATTTTCATAGTTTGTCTTTTTCAATCTCGATATTTGAGGTTGAATCATGTTGGCCATCCTTACCGCTGTGTAAACACGAACCAAACTCTGATATCACTTGTTGGAAGCGTAGGTGGGCACTTAAAAAATTATAATTCACACACTATTATTAATATGAACCAAAGTACGAGTACAACACTAACTTCGACTAGTTTACAAACACAACCCTGCTATTCAAAGCTTTGCTAAGCTATCTCTCATATTTTTTTCACTTTTCACTCACTTACATACATAAACTAAAACTATCAAGGCCTTTTATAGGCAATTTAACCGCCTAAGTATGTTGCATTTCCATGTCGTGCTCTACTTCAATTTTGCAATTTAGTTGATAAGCTTTGCATGTGATGCTGCCAAGTTTTGTTGCTGCCGACTCTTTAATTCATTTTCCATTTTCCACGTTAAGCTTTGCCTCCTGAATGTTGATCTTTCATATGCCACGTTGCCTTCTATCACATGTTTATTTTCCATGCTTAATACTTAAGTAATTCATTCTTCATTAATCAAGAATCTTCTAGTTTTTGCCACCTTAATCTTGCCGACGTTAATGAGTCAAAATCATGTTTGACTTTCCAACAGTATGGACATATATATATACCATTGCATGGCAATAGCTCACTCGTGATATCAGTTGTAGATAAAGGTGTTCATTTTTCGGTTTTAACCGAATTAACTGTCCGAACCGAATTAGTTCGGTTAATTCGGTCGACCACCGAATTAATTCGGTCAGGGAACGGTTAAGAAATTTTTTAGAATTCGATTAACGGTTAATTCGGTTCAAATCAGTTAATTAACTGAAATTAAATTTTAAATTTTAAATATATTATATATAACATATGTGCTCAGCCCAAACCATTTAAAACCCAATTAATAATTTAAGATCCAATAACTTTTAAACCTAAATCAATATTAATTAATTAAAAAATCCATATAAAGTTTTATTTTATAATTATATATTATTTAAATTAATTGTAAATTGTTTTTTTGAATTAAAAAATATTCAATTTTTATATAAATTAGAAAATTTTTTAAAAAATTTTGTTAATTCGAAAATTAACCGAAATTTATTCGGTTCGGTTAATATTTTCAAAAAAAAGTTCGGTTCGATTAACGGTTAAAGAAAAAAAAGTCCGATTAATTCGATTAATGATAATTCGGTTCGGTCGGCCACCGTTTTAACCAAATGAACACCTCCTAGTTGTTGAAAGAAAAACCTTGCCTGATGCAGTAAATACAATAAGAGTGAGCTAAAAATGAATAGAAACATGTTAAAATTTATAAAAATGTTTATGAAAATAGACCTCATCTTCACTAAATCTACCAGCATTGCATATTGTTTCAAAAAGTTCTCCTCCAGCTGCATATTCCATGACTATGGCAAGATGTGTTGGTGTTAACAGGACCTGGAAGTGGGAAGAAACAAGACTTGAAGGACTGCAAAACATAAACAATTTCAGCTTAAACCTTACCTCTTTGAATTTTATTATATTTGGATGCTTCAAAGATCTATGGTTCATAATCTCCCTTTGCACATGCTCTGCAGATCTCATGAAATCAATCCACCATTAAAGAGAAGAAAGACAACCCAAATTAGGCAGTGAAAAGACGAAGCCAAGTACCTTGGGGCCTCTTTCAATATACTTGACAGCAAAATGCTCACCGGTTCGCTTGTCCCTAGCAAGTTTAGCAACACCAAAGTTGCCTGATCCAATATCTTTCAGTATCTCATAACGCTCCATTTCTCAGCAAGAAGTTATTGCAGTAAAAATATGAGCTTTAAATAATGTTGTGTTTTGGTTTTGGGAGTGGGATTGGTGAAAGCAAAGGGCCAAGGAAAAACGATGATATTGAGGGTGTCAACGCCATCGAGACAAGAAACAGACATTAAACGTGGAAGGCAATAAGAGGTCGGAAATCGAAACAGATAGCTTGCCTTTTTTTTTTTGTTGGTCAAATTATCTTTTAAATTTAATAAACTTGAATTATCTAAATACTTTTTTTTATAAATATTTAACCTTTATTATATAATATACTCATAGTGTTTTTAAGAAAACTATTTAGACCTCGTTAAGTGTATTATTTTTAGAATTTTTGAATTCAAGTAGTTACGTCTACATATGTGTGCACGTTGTTAGTGATTAAGAAAGATCCTAAAAAAATACTATCTTCTGATCACTCTGAATTATTCAAAAGTAGAAGAAGATTGTTAACCTAATTTAACGGAATATTTTCAACGCAAAAATTAGAGTTAGAATTTTTTATTAATCTAGGTAAGTATAAGACAATATCTATTTAAAGATAACTCTCAATCATTTGATATTAAACATTCACGATATCTATTTAAAGATAAACTTAAAGAATAATTTTAATTTTTTTACTTTTAAAATTAATGATAACCCTTTTCATCTAGATTTTACACGGGTACAGAGTCAAAAGTTAAGAGAACAATATGTATAGATATCAAAACATATAATAGTCAAATTATTTAACTAAAGACCAAAACTACGTCATTTTAATTTTTAGTTTTCATTTATTTGAACTTTGAAAATTTAATTTTGACTTTAACTCAAAATTCAAACAAAAATTCAAGTTGATAATAATAAACGCATCTTGCTAGAGTAATCGAATAAAAATGAAAATTCAAACAAAAAATTTAGGAATAGAAAATTCAAGTTAATTAAAATACCAAATTGAATAAAAAATAAATGGAAAAAATAATAAATTGGTCGTTAATAATAGGAATAGAAGTTACATAGGTATTTTATAGTATTAGTGGAGCATTTGGTTAAATTTAGTAAAAATATACTTAAAAATGAGTAATCAAAGAAATAAAGAAATCATGCAAAGTTAAAGGATTAGATTGAAAAAAAATAATAAATCGATTTTCATAAATAGGAATTGAAGCTATATAGCTATTCTAAAATGGTTTAGGAGTTTATGGTTCAAATTTGGTCAAAAATGGATTTAAAATGAAAGAGAAATTGAAGAAATATGAAAATCAAGGAGTAAATTATAAAATAGTAAAATTTAGTTTTTTGAATAGATAAATTTGAACTCAACTCGAACTTAAAATTGAAATTGAAATTCAATTTGACTTGAATAGCTTAAAATTAAAAAAAAATCGATTTTCAAGTAGAATAGAGTTTTATTCATACCTACTTAAATGTGTCATCACATGATTGAAGGATTAACTTTATTGAATCAAACTTAAATTAAGATCAAATTGATGGAATACACAAGCAATGAGAGGATCAAATGCACAGCTATATAATTTTTTTAACTACCACGTCAACAAATCTATTATTTGTTAATGACTAGTGACTTGATTGATAACATTTTTAATATTTAAGTGGCTTAGTTGAGGAAAAGGTTTCATTCAATTGTCAAAATTTAATCAATCTCATAATTTAGTGATTATTTTTTATTTTTTATATAATTTAAAAAAAACACAAAGCAAAAATAAGTGTTCAAACTATGTCTTTTAAGATTTAGGTGTTTAATGAGTTTTTCATTCAAAGTAGATGTCTAACGTTACCGACGTTAACTTTTTAGGTGCATGGCCAATCACAACTGTTGGATTCGACCATTATCTGACACATGTTAGATTTATAAAATTTTATTTTAAAATAAAAAATAAAATTATAATTTATCTAAGAAACACATTTTTTCTTAAATCTAAAAAAAAATTCAAAACTCTAAAAACCTGTTGAAAACATTTTTGATGTTTCGATATAACAAATTAAGTGTTATTGAATTTTAAGATTTTATAACCATTTTTAAAGTATATTCGATTAAATTATTCGAATATCAAAAATATTACTCCAAGTTTTTCAAGGGTCAATTTCAATCCTTACTAAAGTGTAAAATTGTGTTTTAAACTTAAAATATTTTTGAAACAATTTTTACAAAGTATTTCAAACCAAAACCGAGCCAAAAATCAATTTTATAAAGGTATGTACCGATGCACTATTTGATGTATCGATGCACACCCTAATTTGAATTCATTTTATGTACTGATGCACATCCATGCATTGATGCACTCCTGATTTTATTGAAACATCAAATGCATTTTATGTACCGATGCACAAACCATGCATCGATGCAGTCCTGGCTCTTTTTAAACATCGAATGTAATTAGTGTACCGATGCACCCCAAGTGTACCGATGCACTAGGTCTTAAAACGGTCAAAATATTTGAATTTTACACACAATGTATCGATGCACCTTGAGAGTGTACCGATGCACCTACGCTCCCAACCAGATTTTTAAATGACAATTACACAATAACAACTCTATTGACTTCACCAATGATCCCCAACGTTCAGAAGTGATTCAAGGTGTATTTAAACAAGCTTAGGAGCCATTGATCAATAACAAGAAAAACAATTATGAGAGAATCAAAGAGAAAGCCTTGAACTTATCGTTTGAGCATTTTGAAGCCTATTTTTCATTCAATATTCATTTTGCTTTCAAGAACACCCTTTGTACTCAATTGTATTATTTTTTAGCTTTCTTTCTTTGTTCTAGAATTGTGAAAACATCTTGCCTTGTGAGGTTTTTCTGTAAGTTTGCGAAATTTGTATTCTTCTCTTTGGGAGAGAGTGTTCTAAAGAATTTGGGGTATAGTTCTTGAGGGAGTTGTAAGGTTACTCTTTGTCCTCAAAAGAAAGAACAAATTAGTGAATTTGTTGGAAAATCCTTAGTGAGGATAGCTAAGGTAGTGGACGTAGACTTTGGTTGAGAAAGTCGAACTACTCTAAATCGTTGTGCAATTATTTTCCATTTTCTGCAAAAGCTTCCACCAAAATTTTAATTGACAATTCACCCCTCTTAGCTATTTTGTCGATCGATTAACTCAACAATTGGTATTAGATCCTCACTCATTTGAAGGTTTAATCACCTCTTGAGTTAATTTGGGAAGAGTTAAATCGATAAAGATGATGTCCACTTCTGGTTCATTCTCCATGGAAGAATCCAGACCAATTGACGTACATCCTTACTTCAATTGAACAAATTATCGTCGTTGGAAGAAGTTCATGATGATATTTATTCAAGCCCATGATATGGAAGCTTGGATGATAATCAAGAAAGGATATTCCTCTCCTACTAAGAAGGCAAAAAAGTGGAGTGATCAAGAATGGAAGAAAGCTTAACAAAACACAAAGGCTATGCACATGTTATGCTGTGCAATTGATCCAGAAGTCTATAATGGAGTTTCTTCTTGTTCAAACGCCAAGGAGTTGTGGGATAAGCTTGAGGAAATCTATAGAGACGAAAAAGAAGAGCAAATTCCAATGATGTCTCTATTTTCTCTAACAGAGCCCAAGGTATCTTCAAACTCAAAAAAGTTAAATTTACGTTCTTTTAATGAGTTACAAGATGCGTATGATGAATTATTTTCAGAGTTTGAGACCATGAACTCCAAATATAAGAAATTGATTTCTAAATTTATAGCTAAAAATGATCTTCTTTTGAAAGCTAAAACAGACTTGGAAAATCAAAATGAAATATTGAAAAAGGAGTTAGAGCTTTCAAAAATGAAATCTGAAAACTTTGAAAAATAAATTTTCAAATTAAACAAACTTCTTCTAGAAACTAAAATGCATTTTGAAAATCAAATGAAATATTGAAGAAGGATTTAGAGCTTTCAAAAATGAAATCTGAAAACTTTGAAAAAGAAATTTTCAAATTAAACAAACTTCTTCTAGAAACTAAAATGGATTTTGAAAATCAAATGAAATATTGAAGAAGTATTTAGAGCTTTCAAAAATGAAATTTGAAAGTATGGAAAAATAAAATTTCAATTTGAAAATTAAGCTTGATTGCTTAACAAAATAAAAAAGGTCATTTTAAATAATTCATCTAGTTCAATAATGACAATATGCTCACATTGTCATTATCATGGTCATAAGGAACATACTTGTCCTTTAAAGAAAGGAAAACGATTTAAAATTAGACAAGCATGAGTTCCAAAAGGAACAAGGGGCATTAAAACTAACATTCAAGGATCCAAAGAAATTCGGATACCAAAATCTACTTAAATGTCTCTTGTAGATGTGTGGGAGCAATGGTGATGAAAGTGAAGATATTCAAGATGCTCTAGCCACACATAAAAAAGGAATGTGTAACCTCTAAACTTAATATTGTTATTTTATTTGGTTGCTCATTTAGTTTATGCATACATGAGTATTTAATCTTAAATAATTATGCTTTATCTCATGTATGTTGAAAAATGATTTATGATGAACAATCTAAAATTTTCAGAAATTTTTCATAACTTTAGTTCATCATAATAATTTTTCGTCAAAATTGTTTCTAAATATAAATAATATCTTTTTAATAATTGATATCAATTTTTCAAATACTTTGGTTTTGATAAATTTTTTACCTTAATTTTTTTTAATGTTTATGCATAGAACTCAATTTTTTTAATGCATAACATTTCCAAAACATTATGCATATGCTCTTAATCTTGATAATCGACATTGCATAATGTGTTTTATATGTGAATGTATTAAAGCATAATCTATTGAGTATTAGTCAATTATGTGATAAGGGATACAATGTCATGTTTGAAACTAATGGTTGTAAAGTCATTGATATTGCATCTAATCGGATTATGCTTGTTAGTCATAGAATAGGAAACATATACATGGTGCATTTAGATTCAATAAAT